GCTTCCTGGATCAGTGCTTTCAGGGGTGCACACTCTCTCCTCACAGTTAAAGCACAAGCAGCAGCTGAAAGAGCTTCGTTGGAGAAAACCCAGGAACTCTTCAGTGGGTTGAAGGGAAGGTGAGCCTGGCTGAGACCCAACTGAGCCATAGGACTGGGAGGGCAGTGAGGCCAGGGCAGGTGCAGGGGGTGGCTGTGGTCCAAGGAGGAACCAGGGACGGTTCCAGCCCCACAGTCAGAGGAGTGTGCTGTCAGAAGGTAGTGCTGGGGGGTAGGAAGGGGAGGACAGTAGGGGCTGCGTTACGAGCACGATGTTCTGTGTCTTATACTGACAGGACTCGAGTGTGCTGATGGGGGCGCTTCCTGCGTTTGCTGGTGCAGCAGACACTGATGCTGCTGCTGAGGCTTCCTCCTCCCTTGATGGGAAACTGGTGTCCCCAGGGCAGGTGGTCAGAGCTGACGGCCATGTAGAGACCAGGCTGTCCAAGTGCCTCTGTCCATTGCCAAGATCAGGATCCCAGGGAGTGCAGTTCTCCCTCTGGGAGAGAGTGGAAAATCCAACCCATCCACTCCTTGTTCAGCTCTGACTGGTGAGGTTTCAGAGTCAGGGGCTGAGGAGGACCTGGGCAGAGGACTGTGGGCCGTGGTCAGGAGGGAAGGCGGGAGTAAAATGGACTTTCAGTTGGGTCCTTGCTCTGCCCAGTAGCTGTGAGCTCTGTGCCCTTGGGCAAGTGTCTCAGCATTTTCAACCACATCAATGCCCTTATCTTAAAAGTTAGCATAATAACCCTGGCTGGGTGGCTCCGTTGGTTGGAATTTTGTCCCATAAGCCAAAATTTGTGGGTTTCACCCTGGTCAGGGTGCACAATTAGGTTGTGGGTTCAATCTCCAGTTGGGGCTTGTGTGGGAAGCAAGCAATTGATGTTTTTCTCACACATGGTTGTTTCTCTCTCTCTTCCTTTTTTTCTCTCTAAAATCAATAAACATATCCTTGGATGAAGATTTAAAATGTGAGAATAATAAAAGGAGCTTCCTCACAGGCTATTTTTGGGGAGTAAATGAGATGATGTAAAAATATTTATCAGGGTGCTTGGTATAGAGTATTCAGTAGTGGTTATACTACACTCAGGTTAAATTTTTTATTGTGGAAAAATTTTAACTTATCCCAAGGTAAAGAGAGTAATACAAAGAACTTCCATGGACCTAGACCAAGCTTCACCGATTATCAATTGATGCCAATCTGCTTCATTTGTAAACTCAGTACTCCCTCCCCACCTGGAATTATTTGGAGGCAGATATTGGACACTGTTTCAGTTTATCAATAAATATTTGAAACCACTGAAAATTATTGCCATCATCAGACTTTAAAAAGCAAGTAGAATTGTTTTTTTTTTAATGGGTTTGTATTTTTTTAAGATTTTATTTATTTATTTTTTAGAGAGGGAAGGGAGGGAGAAAGAGCGAGAGAGAGAAACATCAATGTGTGGTTGCTGGAGGTGATGGCCTGCAACCCAGGCATGTGCCCTGACTGGGAATCGAACCTGCGACACTTTGGTTTGCAGCCCACGCTCAATCCACTGAGCTATACCATCCAGGGTTAGAATTGTTTTTATAAAAGTTACCAGTTGCATTCAGATTTTTCTGCTTTTCTCATAATTTTAAAAATTGAAGTTGGATCCAAATAAGATCCATAAATCACAATTGTTTGATGTCTCTTAAATTTAAATTAATATGTTGGTTTCCACCTTCCCTGTTGCTTTCTGGGAGACTACTCTGGGCAAGAAAGGGGGGTCTCCTGTCCAGTAGAGTTGGGCAGTGTGTGTTCTCTCGGTTCCATCAATCGTGTCAGCTCACCTGCTCCTCCCGTTCCAGCGTCCGTGTGAATTTCTGTCTAAGGAGAGGCCTGGTCAGGTTCAAGGTGGACTGATTTCAGGTGGGAACACTTCACAGGTGCAGCAGTGAACTCCCGTCAGAAGGCACATGACGTCTGGTTGTCAGTCTGTCTGTGACACTAACCGACACTAATGGCTGCCTTAGTCTCATTAAGGGTCACAAGTGATGACACTCAAATGCTGTCACCCCTTCCTCCTGTATTGGGTGGAATAATCCTGGGAAAAGAAAGCTCCCCTCAAGCTCTCTCATCTCCTCGAGGAGCAGGTGTGTGAGAGACACAGATGAACGCCTGACTCTTCCCCTTTGAGTGTCCATGTGCAGAGCAGGGAGATGCTTTCTAGCAGATGCCCGAGGGATAGAAGGCCATGTTTCAGAAGGCATTGCTATGACCCCATGGATTTCAACATATCTGATGCCTTTCCATTCACTGGAATTATTATCAGTGCTCAAATTTTCCTATCCGAGTCCTGTTAGATTCTTAGTCCCTGTGACCCTGCAGTGGCCCCCCAGTCCCTGTGATGAGATGCTAGTGAGTGGTGAGCACACCCAGGCTCTCTGGCTGACGAGGGCCTGTGGGCCCCTCGCACACGTGTCCGGCCCGGCCCTGGAATCGGTGCTTTCTCCTCAGAGCCCTGACCTGTGGTGGGAAATGGCCTCTGAAGGCCAGAGCTGGGTGCTGAAGGGGCCCATTGTCACCGGGCTCATTCCCGTCTCTGTGCCTTTCCAATGGGCTTCACACTACACACAGACACCCAGGTGAGGATTTTAAGGTGAGGATTTGTGAAAATGATTGGATATATTTTTTCAGGTTTTGGATTTTTTGTTGTTGTTATATAGACACATCTCAGTGGGGATGGATGATGAAATGACTGCATTTCCAAGTCTGCTGGACCAGCTGCTTATGCAAAATACAATAGAATTTATTTGTCTCATTCGCTCTTAATTTTAATATTTTAAAACACAATTTTTGTTGTATAAGTAGGTAAACTCCCTACCTGGTTTCAAGATCAAACCTATGGAATCTATGTGCACCCAGGACACCCGACTTCGAGCCCCTGTCCCTGTCCCCCCACCCTGTCTCTCCCATCCCTGCACAGGGAACTTCTGTGTCAGTTTAGTTTTCAGATTATCCTGCTGGTGTCTTTTCATATATGTGAATAGTGTACCTGTTACAGTTCATAGATGGTGTTCACATCCCCCTTACTGGAGAGATGGTAGGTGAACTCCACATTATTTCCTTCCCCTGGTGGTAGACACCCTGGCGGTCTCCCTGTTCTGGTGCAGGGAGACACTTCTCAGTCCTTTTCACAGCCGGCCAGTCCTTTCTGGAGTGAACACACCTTAGTTCATTCAACCTGTTGTCTACTGATGGTCAGTTGATTGGGTTTTGTTTTTTGCTGCTGAAAGTAATGATGCAAAAAAGAGCCTTATGTATGACTTTTGCTGTAAGTTTTGTCAGCAAAGTTCAGGGACATAAGCTGAAATTGGGGATTGGTAATAGGAGGGAAGATGCCCGTGGACTCTACAAGGTATTGCTGGCTTCTACTCTGCGGGGTTGGACTGTGGTTCCCTGCTCACCAGCCGTGCAGGGGAGGACCTGCTGCCCCCGCCCTCTCTGGCTGATTCTCAGCACAGTCTGGAGTTCTGCCAGACCTGGAGGTGACAAACAGTATCTCACCTCAGAAATAGAGGTGTCATTTAAAATTATTTTATTAAGTTATATTTTTTTTGTGTTTTGATTTATTTTTGTCTATTATGAGTGTATGTTATTGTCTTTTGATATATTCAAGACACATTTAAACTGTTTTTCCTGAAGGTTTACTTCTATCTTTTGATCCATTTTCCATCAAGTTGTTGGTTATTTGTTTCTGTAGCTTTTAATTTTGTTTGTGTAATAGGAAATTCACCCACTTTGATTTACGTTTGGAAAATGCTTTTTTCCCTAGTTTGACAATTTTTGCTTTAATTTGTCTCTGGTGTTTTCTTTGTCTCACATTATCTGTGAGAGTTTTATGTAATCAAACTTATTAGTCCTTTTCCTTACTCTGTGTCAAACCTTAGAAATATTTTCCCTACCCCCAGGTTACAAAGAATTTGCTGAGGCTTTTTCTGTTATTTCTATGGGTTAGTTTTCTATTTAAACCTGTGAGGTGTTTGAACTCTGAATGGCTTGAGGCAGTGGGGGCAGTTTTCTCCTTTTCTGTACAGTTTCACAGTCGCCCCCACGTCACTTTATTCGTCCACCTTTCTCCTCATTGATGTGAGATGTGGCCTTATCGAATCTATGGTAACATCTAATTAACTGTATTATAAATGAATACAGTATGATTAATTTGGTCTGTTTCTGAATTATCTATTTCAGTTTCCCTGTTCCCTCTGTTCGTGCACCAACTCCTTGAGGCTGTAATTATAGAAACTGTGTGTTGACTCCTGGTAGAGCTGGTCCTCCCTCATTCTTTTTCTCGTCGGTGCTGAATAATGTTCTTTTTTGGTCCAAATGAACTTTATAATTCATTATTTTAACTTTAGAGGAGTACCTATTAGTTGCAACTTCATGATGTGTCTTAAACATGAGTCGGTGTTGAATTGAGTCAATTGTTTTTTGCATCTAGTTAGTTTCTCCTTCATGTATTAATGGGATGTGTTGAAACAATCGATTTTTTCATGTTGAACCATCCTAGCTTTTCTGAAATAAGTCATATTTAAACATGGTGTATTACTCTTTTTAGTGTCCAGTACTTTTTTTGGGATTTTTGTATTACTATTTCCAAATGAGACACATCTGTGGCTTTATTTATTGGTGAAATCTTGGTTAGCCTTTGGGGTCAATATTATATTTTATTCTCAGAAAGGACTGAAACTTTCCCTTCTTTTGTGTGTGATCAGGGACAGCTCAGGGAGCACTGAGAGAGCAGAGCTATAAGGTGCAGGTGCGCTCCCCTGGGAGGGGACTGGCCCTGGTGCTCTTCTGTTGGAAACTGTTATTTCTTCTGTAGTAATTGAACTGTATTATCTCTCTCTTGGTACTGGGTTCAATGTAAATAATAGACTAGTACAAAGTTTCAGGGAGGAAACAAGGGCTCGGAATGGTCCTCACTTACCTAAGCTGACCCCTCCCTCTCTCCTTCCCCTTCCTCAGGGTCTTGCAGGAACCTGCACCCAGAACCTCTTGAACCAGCATGGCCGGCCTTCAGGACAACACTTTGCGGATTGTTCTGGTGGGAAGAACCGGAAGTGGGAAAAGTGCGACAGGAAACACCATTCTCGGGAAAAGAGCATTTGATTCTAGAATTGCTTCCGGGTCTGTTACCAAGAGCTGTCAGAGAGAAGAGAGGGCCTTGGAGGGGAGGAAGCTTCTCGTGGTGGACACCCCAGGGCTCTTTGACACCAAGGAGACACTGGAGACCACCTGTGAGGAAATTGCTAAATGTGTCCTCTTCTCCAGCCCTTGGCCTCACGCCATCATCCTGGTTGTACGGCTGGACCGCTTCACAGAGGAGGAGCACAACACAGTTGAACTGATTAAAGCCATCTTTGGGAAGCTAGCCGTGAAGCACATGATGGTCTTGTTCACTCGCAAAGATGAATTACAAGGTCAAGAGCTCAGTTTGTTTATAGCAAAGTCAGACAAATGCCTAAAAACCATCATCCAGGAGTGTGGGTTACGCTACTGTGCCTTCAACAACAACAGAAATGCAGACGAGGCTGAGAAGGAAGCCCAAGTGCAGGAGCTGGTGGAGCTGATCGAGGCAATGGTGCAGGAGAACGGAGGGGCTCACTTTTCTGATTCCATGTATGAGGACACAGCAGAAAAGCAGAGACGTCTGGAAAAGGCCTTGGAGAAAATCTCTGATACTTATTCAGAAAATAAAAAAGAACTGGAAGAGAAATTTGCTAAGAATGAAATAACAAAGCAAGAAAAGGAGAAACAAATGAAAGTCCTAAATGAGCAACATGTTCAACAAATTGAAAATGCCAAGAAAGAAGCTGAAAAAAACACATTTGTAGCTGTTTTCAATCGGATTTGGAGTGTGCTTTCAATTGTGTGGCATCAGTTTTGGAAATAATGCAAATTCATTTTATTTTTTTTTAATTTACTGTGATTTGTCAATGTGGTAGATTGTATTTTCCAAAGAAGGCTATAACGATATCCGCTACCCCAGCTCTGCTTCTTGTACTCTGCGCTGTTGCTCTTTCTGTTGGGTGATGGGGACTGTGTCCCCTCCTTGAAATTCCATGGACTCTGTGACTGCTTTGATGAGTAGTGGCTGGTCTGACTTCTAAAGTTAGACGGGGACAGTGTTGCCTTGCTCTCTGGGGTACCTGCCCTCAGAACGTGGCCCCCGTGCTGTGAGAAGCCCACGTTGCCCATTGAGAGGCCTCAGGAAGAGGACTGGAATCCAGGCTCTGTCTTCTGCCTGCTCTTCATCTCCCAGTGAGACCACGTGCCAGCTGTGCAAGTGTGGCCACAGGGCGGTGGGCTCTCTAGTTACCATTGGAGCCGCCTCAGGGGAAGCTGCAGAGAGCAAAGCTGGGCCATCCCCACCATGTCCCGCCCAGTTTGCAGATTCATGAGAAAAATGAATGATGCTGTTTCAAACCACTAAGCTTTGGGCTGGTCTGTTGTGCAGCAACAGCTCCCCAGAGCATCCTCCCAGCTCATCCCCACCCATCCCCACAGTGCCAATGCATTTAGGAAGTGACAAAATGGGCCCTGGCTGGTGTGGCTCTGTGGATTGAGTGTGGGCTGCGAACCAAAGAGTCCCCAGTTTGATTCCCAGTCAGGGCACATGCATGGGTTGCAGGCCAGGTCCCCAGTATGGGGCTCTGGAGAGGCAACCACACATTGATGTTTGTCCCTGCTCTCTTTTTCTGTGCCTTCCCTTCTCTATAAAAATAAATAAATAAATAAAATCTTAAAAAAAAAGAAGTGACAAAATGGGCATAATCAGGCCATAATACATTATATAGAGGTCAAAAACTCAATTTAGGAAAATCAAATAAAAAATTCTGCACATGCCACATGTTAGCCCTCTCGTGATGCACATTTTTTTCGTCCATGTCTATGACCCGGCGGTCAGTGAAGCAGCAGGTCTCTCCAGCACGATGGTCTGTGGTCCACAGAGGTCCAGGAGGTGCTAAATCCTTCTTGTTTTTCTTTCTTTTCTTGTTTCCTACATGAGGTACCATCCTCATGTATAATGTCCCTCACTGTACCTTAAATATATCTTCTGGGGCAAATAGTTTTCCTTTGCCTCTGTAGATCCACACTTTGCCCCCCTCACCCTAGCTCTGTGCCCCAGGAGGCTGACCTACGTGGGTCACATTGTTAATGAACTCAAGGGGTTCGCCCTTGGGGTGCTCTGCTCAAGGACAAGACATGGTTCTCACAAGGTAGATTTATTTACTTGCAGCCAGTGAAGAACATGCAGGGATTCATATCCAAAGTTCACTCTCTGGGAAGGGAGGCGGAGCCAGTGCTCACGTGCGCTCACTGGTCAGTGCCACATCGGCTTCCTCTTTGCAGTTGGCTGCACTTACCTGGGGGGGCTCCTGCCAAGCGCGTCCTGCTTACAGCTGGTCTGCAGACACTGCACTGCTGTGACATGTGGCGAGAACAGCGCTGAGTGAGAGGGGCCCTGACCTGAGGCCCCCGTCCTGTCTGTCCACGTCAGCGGGCTCCCTGGGTCTCTGAGTCTTGCTGGGCTCCTGCCAGTGGGAAGTCCGAGCAAGAGGCCTCTTCCGGGTAGAAAAGTGAGGCCGGGGTATTTGTTCTCCTCCCTCTGTCCCTGCAAGGTCATCTCTGACCTGCTGCAACCTGAAGCTGAATGTCACACCTCCTGTACCGAATCCCCCTTTCTGGATTCCAGCTCTCTTTCACCCCCTTAGGGTTAGGGTGTCGTTTCTTACTCTTACTAACAGTGTCTCTTGTCTCTTGAATACCCTGTACCCACCTCTTATAGGAAACTTTTTCTTCCATTCTCGTGTTCCTGTGGCTGAACACAGGAACTCCACACTGGGAGCTGTGAACCCCAGTGTGTCTGTTACTCTGGGGAGGTCATAGGGAGGACGTGACCTCTACTTGGCCTAAAAGCTGGACCTAGGCTTCCCCACCCATGCCAGCCCATCCTTGGAATGTGTGTTCAGCTCACTGGGTCCCTTCCAGTGTTGTCACAGCAGCTGAGGGGTCTGTATACACTCTTCAGACCTGGCAGGCAGGTGCACCAAATATTTGTCTTGGGGACCACCCACGACCAGCCTTGTAAGTAGGTTCCCAGGCTCATTAAACTGCCACCTCCCCATGGACAGTGATCTACGGCTGTCTCTCCAGGCTCCATATGAGGGCTGGTGTCAGACTTACTCCCAGGAGGTGAATTGCCAATGTGTGCTGATAAAGGAGCAGTCTTGTCTGTGGTTAGAGACAAAGGTGAAAAATGGGGTGCCTAAAGCAACTGTTCTCAGAAGTATCTTTAGAAGTATCTTTATGTTCCAAAATTCTCCTTAATTTTTTTCATTTCTTTGTGTCCTCTTCAATTTCACTTAGTAATGACTTGTAGTTTTCAGTGTATAAGTCCCTCACATGCTTTTGATGTTTATTCCTAGGTGTTCTATACTGTTTCTGCAATAGCAAAAGGAATTGGTGTTTTAAAATATTTTTTTCTGAAATTTCATTGTTGGTTTGTAGGAACACAATAAATTTTTTGTACACTGATTTTGTATACTGTAAATTTACTTGTTTCTAAAAAATACACTAATAGCTAAAATTTGATGTATAAATACTGTTTAAGCTGCATCTCATAAGCTTTAAAATTCAGTATTCACTTATGCTCTTGCTTTAAACATTTCTCAATTTTGATTACTGGGTCTGATTTGATCCATGGGTTATTTGACCCAGGCATTGCCTGAGGGAGTGTGGGCATGGGAGGAGGGGAAAATTGGGACAACTGTGATGGCAGAGGCCATAAATCAATACATAAAAATAGAACTATGTCCTCCAATTGACAAACATATGGTATTTTATTATTTACCTTTTAATTACGTTGAGGTCAGGAAATGTGCCCTATGTTAGTTCAATACTATACAGTTTCAAAGCTTTCCTTGAGACCAGTGTTGGTCAGTGTTCCCCATCTGTTTGAAAACAAGGGACTGAATTTGAGGAAGTGTCTACACATGTGCATGACATCAAGTCCATGAAACTGGTTGCTTCAGTCTTCTGTGTCCTTTTTGCTTTACTTTCCTGCTCTAGTGAGGACTGAGAAATGTGTGTTGCACCTGTCACCCTAAGTGCAGGTTTGCCCATTTTCTCTGTGATTGAATCACTCCCCTTACAAAGTGAGGACTCCATGTGCAGCAGGTGGAAATGCAAAGCCGTGTCTGACCCGGTGCGCAGGGCTCTGTGGCTGTGCCCCCACCAGACTGCTGAGGTCCCACCTGCCTCCTGCACTCCTCACCCATCTTACTATACTCACTGTTGTTCTTCTAACACAGATGAATGTGTTATATATTTTATATTCTACACGTTTATTCCTTATTGTTTATTTTCTGTCCCTTCGAAGAACACTGGACGATCCAAACCATGAATGTTTACCTTTGATTATTTGCTGATATATCCAAGTGTCTAGAACAGTGCCTGGCACATAACATGCTGTCATACAAACTGAATGGAAAGCCAGTTTGTTGGGTACTTTGTTCTTGTTGGTTTGGAATTAGATTGCTATATTTGTGTAAACTTCTGTTCTCAAACTTTGTCTGGTTATATGTTTTAGATTCAAATTTCTTTTTCAATCCACTGAAAAAAATGTGTGTGTATGTGTGTTTTTTAACTGAATCCTTTGGCTCATGTCTCATAATTATAATTTCCAATCTATTATGCACATATGAATTTTTTATTTCTTGCCTTCTACTTGTCCAACCTGTTCCAAAATTCATTTTTATTCGCTCTTGTTGAATTCTAATTATTTGGGACTTTTTTTACAATCTATGTTTATCCATAGTAGTTTGGAGGTTATACACACTTTTCCTCACTTTTTAGTACCTACCCAGTGAATATAACACATACTGATAACGGATCAAAGTCTGAAGTGAATCTATCCTTTTCTCTTCCTTTTGTGCAACAAATTACCTTGGACATTTTAATTCCATTTCCCACCCTCCATCCCAATCTAAATATTTACTGTGTATTTTGTTAATTTTTTTTCCTTTTAGAATCTAGAGGCTGTTTCTATTATTTTGTCACTGTTCCTGCCAGTTTAACTTAGTCTTTGTTTTCCCCTTCTGAGTCACTGATGGGATTGCTTTTCCACTCGTGTCCAGCACACTCTGTAGAAATCCCTCCAGTGAGGTCGTGCTGGGGGCAGGAGCGCTCCCCTTCCTTGTCTGAAATGCACGTGTGTTGCCCTGACTCCTGACAGCTGTCTCCCTGAGTGTGGAGTTCTGAGTCAGCTGTCATCTTCTCTGAGCTCATTGCAGGTCTGCTGGCACTGTTTCTGGCTGCTCTGTTACTGGGCAGGGGTCAGTGCAGTTCCAGCATCTCGTCCTGGAAGGTCATGGGTCTGTCTTTCTGGCTCCTTTGAGGAATTCTCTTTGCTTTGATGTCCTACAGCTTCATCTTCTGTGTCAAAGTGTGAATTCCTTCTTCCTGATTGTCTTTGGGATTTGCTGGATGGTCTGAATTTTGGGTTGGTGTGTTTCCTCAGCTCCACCGCCGCAGCTTTAAAGATGTCCTCTGTGGTCTTCCCTTCTGTTTTCTCTCCACAAGCATCTTCTGCCTGTTTGCAGTGCATCCTGGCCTTTTCTTTCCTAACACTCCCTGCACTCACCAGGTACTGCTCACTGACATTTTTGAGGGGCTAGCCCTTTGGGGGTTATGGTCAGAGTTCCCTGTGAGACCCCTGTTGAATCCGCCCTTGCCTTTGGCTCCCATGTCAGTGGGTTTGGGGATGCACAGTTGAAGTTCTCCCAGTTGGTGAATATCCTCAGAGTGGCCAAGGGCTGCTGTCCTTCACTTACAGGTCTGGGTTTCCTCTTCCCTGGGCTCCACGTCTGAGCAAATTCCTTTTCTTCACAGTTCTTGCATCCTTTTAAGAAAATATAGGTAATATTTTCCACTATTTTTAGTTGACTTCAGAGGAATGGTTAATAACCTCGATACCTGATGGGAAAGTTTATTTTTTGTTTGTTTGGTTAGGTTTCTTCCCATAGGTTTCCTGAGTTCTTGGCTCTGATAGGGGTAATTGTTCTGTTATCTGCGTCCCATCCGTGTCTGTTTCAGACATCTGCTTTCCCTGGGTGTTTTTTCCTGTTTGAGAACAAAGCCTTACAGCAGCTTCCTGAATGTCAGGAGTGGGGGTTGGCCTGTAGGCTGTCCCTGACTTCACCTGGGGCTCTCAGGTCAGCCCCTGTGGCCACCTCAGCCTCAGCCACTCTGGGATGGGGTGTCTGGACAGTCTCCCCAGTTCATCCTCATCTCTGTCTGCCTTCCAGAGATGGGTTGAGACCTCTCATTGTCGAGGCTCAGACTCCTACGTCTGGGAGAAGACCCTGAGAGATGGGCTGAGAGTGGTGGTCGACCCTAGGCTTCCTGGGGCTGGGGTGTGATGGGTGTGAAGATAGGTTTGTGGTCTCTTCACCATGTTATTTCCACTGCAGTGGTGCAGACCTGTTTATGTGCATGAGAAGGTGAGACTTGTGTTGGAAAAGATGTCAAATTGTGAAAAAAGAGGAAATGTTTGCAAGGTTGAAAATTGTTGAGACCACAACTGCAAAGCCTCTGAGGCTTTGAGCTTGGAGAGGTGCAGAAATAGCCTTAGGAGCTCAGCTGGCTGGAGCATGTTCCCTGTGCGCTGAGCTGCAGTTTCTACCTCTGGTCAGGTAACATAGGAAATGTATAAGTAAATGGAACACTCAATTGATGTTTCTCTGTCTTTGTCTCTGCCTCTCTCCCTCTCTCCCTCAATCAATAAACTGAGACAAAAGAACAACAACCGGGGCTGGGTAGCTCAGTTGGTTGGAGGGCCATCCTGTGCCCCAGAGGGTTGTGGGTCCATTTCTGGTTCTGCAGCATGTGGGAGGTGACCAGCAGAGTCTCTCTCTCACAGTGATTTCTCTCTCCCTCTCTCTCTCTGTCTCTCCACCACACCCCGTCCTCTCTCTCTAAAATCAATGAAATGCCCTTGGGTGGGAATTATGAACAACTGTGCATACATGGACTCTGTCTCTAGACAGGAACAGGTACAAACTCACATGTAAAAGGCACTGACACGAGCCCGTGTGACAACCTGCAGCCTGTTTTACCATTGGTCTCCCACCACTGAGTCTCCTGGTCACACCCAGTGGTACCTAAATACCTGCCATTCCCATATTTATTACATTCTAGTTTACATAAAAAAACTCATTACTTCTTTATAGCAGGTTTAATAACCAATTCTGTAAACTCATTTCTAACAAGTTCTAGTACTTCCCATTGCCTTGTATATGTGTTATCATGTGACAGTGTGCACTCAGTTTGTTTTATTTTTAATTCATTTTTACTTTTACCTTTGATCCCAGGCAACCACTCCTCTTGCTGCTCGCCTCTGGGAACCACCAGTCCACTCTCAGGGTCTCTGAGCTCGTTTTTTTGTTTCTTCATTTGCTTTCGATCCCACAAAGGAGATCATACGATATTTGTGTTTCTCTGCCTTATTTACTGTCACTTAGCAAATGCCCTTGAGTTCCATGTATGGTGTTGCAAATGGCAAGGTCTGGGGTGTTTTATAACTGAGCACTGTTCCACATACATCACCGTTTCCCTATCCGTTCGTCCACGTACGGATTCCTCTGTTGCTCCCCGTCTTATCTATTGTGAATAATGCTGCAAAGTGTTGTTTGTTTTATGCAGCTAAGATCCAGTAGTGGAAATGCTGGATCACGTGGTAATTCTATCTTTATTTTTTTTGACCCTCACCTGCAGACATTTGTTTTCCTTGCTCTTAGAACAAGGGGGAGAGAGAAACATGAATAAAAGAGAGAAGCATTGATCGCCCGCCTACCACAGGTGCCCCGACTGCGGGTGGAACCCACAGTCCTTCCTCTGCAGGATGTCGCTCCATCCAAACCAGCCGCGCTGGCCAGGGCAGCTGTTTGTAACATTTGAGGCCCCTCCATACTGTTTTCCACAGCAGCTCACCAGTTTACATTCCCACTAACAGTGCACAAGGGTTCTCTTTTCTCCACACCCTCAGCAACGTTTGTTATTTCTGTCTTTTTGATAACAGCCATTCTAACAGGTGTGAAGTGACTTCTCTCTGTGGTGTTGATTTGCATTTCCCTGATGGGTAGTGAAGCTGAGCATCTTTTCCTGTACCTCTTAGTTGTCCCTATGTCTTTTTTTTAACATCTATTGAAAACTTTGGCAAATTCACTCAATTGAATTGCTTGATTTTTTGCAATGGAGTTATATGAATGCTTTGTATAGTTTGGATATTTGCATCTTTCAGCTCTGTGATTTGTAAATATGTTCTCGAATTCAGACAGATGCCTTTGCCTGTTGTTAATGGTTCTATTGCTTTCGTTCATTTGCATGAAATACTGTCTTTCATCCCTTCACTTTTAATCTCTTTGTGTGGTCTGTCCTGAGGTGGGCCTCCTGTAGACAGAGTGTACATGGGTCGGGTTTTCTTGTCCATTCAGCTGCCCCATGACTTTAGATTGGAGCA